CCCCTCCTACCCTACTATCCGCTCCCGTTACCTTCCTTTTTCCTCCCAGATTGACAAATCACATGTAAACTAGTAGCAAAACTCTTGAATAGTCGTAGCCTGCATATCGCTTAGGGCGATGGGTCAGGGTAATTGAATACAACTCAACTCAACTCAACTCAACTTAATCCGCCGTATAATAATTCTATTACGTCCCTTTATCTATATCTATTTAGCCGCTATCGTCCTTGGCTCTTTTATTTTTAATATCCCCGACGAGAATATTCTCGACAAACCAAGGGAAGTACTCCTTAGCGACCCATGCGAGCAAAACCCTTAGGGTCGCTATGAGCGTGTAGATTCCCTTAAGCGTCATAGTACTACCGATCCAGAGCTTGCTGTAGATAGCCTATTAAAGACATTAGCTTTCTTTGCTCTTTATACGTGTTGGACAGAGGCTTACAATGTTTCCCACTGCGTTCTGTTGAGCGAAGAGAAAATACCATTCAGAGCCGTTGACAAAGACCAAGGGCAGGGCGAATAGTTCAGGCAATTTCGCCAGTTGCCGCAAGCGTGTGAACTGCGCGCCGACCCAAACCGCCAGCTGCACATTGGCTGTCTCTTCAGGCCCATCCCCAGTTTTTGTTTCAATGCTGATGGCAATGGGGCGAAGACGCAGCGGATCATACGTTGTCTGGTTGATTGTCTTGATGAAGACTTGCGGCTGGGTCCTAAGCATCTCGCGAATGTCCGCAGACAGAGCATCGTCGCGAAGATAGATGACATAGTCGACCATCTTCTTGGTTGTGGTGTCGGCGCCGGCAATGCGAGGCGCGACGGACTTGTGGACCTGCGCAGTGGTGACATTCATGTAGCGAACGCCTTTGGGCCCGCGGAGCATCGCGAGGTCGAGCACTCGGCTGTGGATCTGCTCGTTCCAGCCGGGCTCGGCTTGGTGGTCCTCGAATATCTCAATCGTCGCGTCGCGGAGCCGACATGCAGCTGAGAGTTCTTCCTGCAGCTGCGCCTCAGTCGCATTGTGCGAGTCGGTCATCATGTGTGGGTAGATCCGCGAGTCTTTCCACTCTGCGCTCAAGGCGGGCTGCGTGTATTTGGGTCAGCATGCGACGCGAAAAGGCGGGGCGGCACGATGGGTGAATACCTCGATACCACGCGGTAGAATTCCAACTCCATCGCAGAGCTCTTGTACCCGAGAGTACAGCTGCCTGGCCGCCAGTGGCAGCTCATCCAGGCGGGATTGTAAGGCCAGAAAGTCGCATCTTGTCTCGGTGAACTGCAGGTCGATCATGCGCTTGATGGGGCTGGATGCGCGCTTGCCGTTGCCTTTGTTGCTGCTCTTGTTCGTGCTGTGTGTTGAATTTGTATCGGATGTGGCGTCGGAAGACTGGTCGCATTGCTGTTTCGCTCGGTTCTGCCTGTACGACGGAGGAGACAGCACCAGGTTGTCCATGACCGAGTCAACCGGCCCGGAGCGAGAGCCCGGTGTGGGGCTGTCCAGTGGCTTGGCGGTACGCGATGGCGCGCGCGGTGTCGTGTCGTCGATGGGATTGTCGTCCATGGAGGATTGATCGCCCATGGAGTGGTCGCCCATGGGGTTGAAGCGCATCTGCTTGAGCGGAGACTCGCGGCGGGCCGGCGGTGCCATGCTTGCGATGCAAGAAGAACTGCAACGCTTGCGCTTCTTCGATGGCGATGGCGAATGAGCGGCAGAGAGGACCTCTGAGATCCAGGCTTCGATGAAGGTATCGCGGGACATGGTGCAGAAATTGAAACGGGGCGACGTGGGTGCAGCGACAGTCGGCTGGGATTGTGTTGTGGTGTTGGTTGCACAAGCTCGTCGTCTGGGGGATCGTCTTGTCACGAACTTCGTAGCCTTGTTTCACGCGCAGCGCCGACCCGGAGACTGTCGCGCACCGCTCGCCCAGAAATAGACAACGCGCCCTGGAAAACCGTTGAGCATATGTGTAACGCGGCGAACCCGGGTCCTCGAATTCTGGCGCAGGGACAAGGCTACCCCGTACTCTAAGTTCCAAGTGTTAGAGCTCGTAGTTTAGACTCCTACAGTCAAGCATATTTGAATTTGCTATGGCATACTGCCCCTGCATACCCGCCTGTATCCAGCAGCTCTACGCAGCTTACCACCTTGCCTACAACATCACCCCTATGAATGATTGCGCTGCTGGTGCGTCGTCACGCGGGAGCTTCCGGTAATGTTTGTTACTGCGTGTGCGAGTCTCGGGCCTCGCTATCTAACGCGTGTATCTGCATACCGAAATCCCCTACGATGAGGGTTTCTCGCTAATCCTAATGTATAAGCTTTCCGGCCGTTGATTGTGGCGGTATACTTTTAAGATACTACTATACGATTATATAACCTTCCCTCTAGCACATATCCCTCGTGGGTGATTGTGGCGCATTCTTAATGTATACGAGAATGCGGGTGAGAAGACGCGCGACCTTTATTGGTTATAAAGGATAAGAGCTGATCTCTGTGCTCGCCGTCCTTAAATACCTCTGCGGAAGCAGAATGCGCTCGCGTCGCGGCGTAGGCTTTTGGGAATGTGTTTGGCGATAGCCTTGCGTGCATAACTATTATAAATAGTGGATCCTCGATCCGGCTTGGTACGTGGTGAACCTGGTTCTTGTGATGCTGAGGATCTGGGCGGACGCTGTCCCTTCTCTATATAATGGAGTAGCAACCGCCCGCCTATATCTCTTCCGGCTCTAGTCTATGTAGGTCCTGTAAGTTTGCTTATTCTGCCGCCGCTTTTCGCCTCGCGGCTCGCTAGTTCTAAATTTGTCCGTCTCGTCTCGTCCCACTGCCTAACTGATCGCGCCTTGTGCCACTACTCCGACCGACTCGACGACACGCTATGAAACCATAATAAACCCTACACGCAGAAGGTTAACATGAGTATCTCTGGGCTGTAGCTGTAAGCCTTATGGCCTTAAAAGCCGAAACGCCGAGTATAATTGTTGAAATTTTGCCTAAATTCTATGCCGTTCTCCGCAGCAGCGTGGGAAGGAGAGGTGTTTAGCTAGCTCGTGGGTTCTGCCGAAACATGAACAAGAAAGGAAGGTGATACTAGCTTAGTTAGGAGCGTATAACAACCTGAAGCGGCCGTTGTGCCGCGCTAGGGCGAGCTAAAATGTTGAAGCTAAAGTTTTTTATACGGTCTGTACATGTCAAGAGCTATTACTAGTTATGTAAAGAAAATCCTCGTCTGCTATACCAATAATGGAGTAATGCCAATAATCTACTTAAGTTTTATATACTATAGCTTTCTATTAATTAGAATACGTAGGAGGTCGTACACGTCACTGGAAAGGAGATCAATATAAGGCTTAATTAAGTATATATATATATATATATATATATATATATA